TTTTTTTTTTTTTTTTTCATTCCTCTTAAGTAGGTTTATAACTATTCTGAAGAAACTAAAGGTTGATTAAAAGCTTATAACATTGCATAGTTTTCTTGGCAAGAAACACAAACCTTGAAAATTTAACTGCGCACATGTTTTTGATGAAAATAAGGATTCAGTCTGAAAGGTAATGCCTTAAAAAAGTTTGCCTGGTCCTTTATTGCGAATTAAGAAAGATTTTACCAAAAAATCACTCCCAATGAATTATGCAATGTAAACATTCTTTTTAAGCCGTTTGCATACACAACAACAAATTAATATACAAATATTTATGGTCAATTGAATTTAAAAAAGAAACAAAAATGTTAAGAAAAAATACGAAACTTAAATGCGAAAATCTTAATTTAAAATTTTGTTTCTTTCATTTTTTTAATTTTTATAATTAAACAGTTGCAATTTGCTGCATTTTGGAATTGAACTTTTATTTAATGTGCTGATAGAAATGTAGTGGAAATCGTGAAAATAAAATAGTTAAAATTCTTCTTTATTTAAGCTATTTATGTATCAGCCATATTTTAGAGAAAAAAGAAATGGCGTTGTTCATTGTATTTTCTCGTTCACTAACGATTATAGCGTCTTTGGGTAGTAATTGATATAAATAATGAAAGACAATGTAATAATTCAAAGGAGCTGAAGCGTCCCTTGCTAAAGACATAAAGACTTCATTATTTTGCTGACATTTTCCATTTAATTGGTGCCGCCATTTTTGGTTGTTGTCAAAATGAAAATTTACAATTTCATTTCTTCGAACAATTGCTTAACAAAAGGTTTAAAATCAGCTGGTATAGCATCGTTAAGTAAAATACCTGTAACAACTACATCTTTTCTTAACCGTGTTGGTTGGTTTTTTTCTTTCCCTACGAAGTAACTTCGCAAATAAGGCCATTTTTTACTCTTCTTCAATTCTGCCAATATTTTGATTTAATACAAAAATACAAATGTTCCGTTAAGTTAACGAAAAAATTTCTTGGACCCGACCGCTGAACAGCCCTGAACGAAACCCCCAGCTGTAAATTGACTCCCGTTGCAAATTTGAAGTGAAAAAAATGTTATATTGGCGTGAAATGCAACACGTAATATTGTAAATCTAATGAAGCGCTAATGCAATCTTTAATTGACTTCAGTCATATGATTTGGTGGTGGCAGTGCGTTTAAGTAATTGCATGGGGTCACTTTAAAGCGCTTACAAAAACGCATTTATATGCATTGCTGAAAGAACGAAGCAAAAATCGTTAAGAACACTTGACATATGCCCATATAGACATCTTATAAATATAGGCGTTTCATAAAAACCAGCCTAAATTAGATTCTAAAGAATTGTTGGAAGATAATTTAGAGCAATTGTTAAAACGTAGGGAATTAAAAACTATTTACCTAAAAAATGAATTGAAGCTAGTACAATTGACAAAAGAGACTTGAGGACTTTCACGTATTTTATAAAAAGGTAAGAAATATATTCTTCAATATTTATGTTTTGCTTACGGAAGAAGAATAATAAGTGAATATGCAAGCCCATTTAGATTTCGTCAATTGATGAAATGGAGTCAAGAATAATGAAATAACATATGGACGCATTTTTATAGCACTTCTCTTTTGAGCTGTCTTATTAACGCGCCTCTTGTATATAGCCCATCCAAAATAAGGACTTTCCGTAACATAAAAAAGGGGGTTTTTATAAAATGACTTTTTTTAGTTATTTTGAATATAGTGTTATGGCTGTGAATAACATATGCAGCCGATTAAGTTACTTTACCGTCATATACTCGTAATAGAAGAATGTAGAAGAAATTTCAAGATAGGCGTTAGATCAAAAATGGACTAAATAAGAATACGAAAAATCATTTAAGTTCTTAGTAAAAAGGTGTGCGTATTCTCTCAACAACTATAATCTAGTAGGCTGTACAAGATACAAACATTTTAAGGGTTTGCAGTTATATTTAAATATAACTAGCAAAGAAAAAGTTCTGTTAAGCCGTTAAACGATGTTTGGGAGGGATCTAAGTCAAAATATAGTTAAAATAGAATATTTCGATGATTTTTTTACAAAATATAAATGAAACATATTTTTATGTAAACTGATTAACATTTGAAAGAATAAAATTTTTACACTATTTCATAAATGAGACTGGTAAAGGGAAAATTTGCTTAGCTACCATGGGCAAACCATGCCATGTGAAAAAAAGAAAGTGGTACGGCGTGAATCCTTTATTAATAGTCTTTCCAAAGACGTCCAGGTTATATTAAGTTTTGCCCGGAAAATTTTTTTATAGGACCTTGTGAATTGCCGTTCTTGATATAGGCTAATATTTAAGTAAACGTTGAAAGGTCACTGTAGGTAAATGAACTTTATGGCATCTCTGATTTTCTGATGCTTCTAAGCGTTGCAAGCATTTTAACAAAATGAATATACCCCTCATGCTTCGGTAATGGGCATAAAAATATTATGAAAATAAAACGAAAGTAATTTCTGAGAAACTTTTTTGGGACTTTGCAAATTTCTTTTCTTAACTACTGTCGAAACAAAGCCTATAATGATTGTTGAGACTTTAGAAATGTTTTCCTCTCGCTGCTTATTTCATTGTACTCTTGCGTGGATCTACGCGTAGACGAATGCAAAAAGAGGCATTAATTTCGTTTGCAAATATTAAACTCTCTTTTTTTTTTTTCTTTTATGTATGTTGCACTTGATAAAGTAAAGTAAGCCTGCCGAAGAACAAATTCTTTGGCAGTTATTTCTTGCATATTTGCATATGTAAATATATTTATGAGGAGTATATGTCACCGTCAATGACAATGAAATATATTCTTTTCCTGAATTCCTAAGTTATAAAGAAGCCTTAATTTTTTTGAAAGGCGGAGGTGTTCTCAATTTACGTGGTACTGTAAGCGTGCTTACATTAAGAAAAGATAACATGGCCTGGAGCACGCATATTTAAAAAAGCGAAGAAATGCCCAACTATGAGAACAACAACTTAGACGGCAACTTACATATAACATTTGATATAGATTTTCCTAAGAAAAGTTTGAACGATGAGAAAAAAGAACGTATGTATTTTAACACCTAGCAAGAAGAAAGCAAACTTGTCTAACGAATATTTACATAGAGAAGACGATTTCGAGGATTTTTATATGAACGTTTTTTTTGAAACTTGTGAAAATGCCGATGGAAAAGGTGTAAATATCAGCTCGGACTTTTTTTTTGTGATTATCTAAAAACCTACAACAGCGATGACTTAGTAGAATTAAGAGTAATTAGCAGGGGCAGAGCTAAACTGCTTTTCAGCTCTGCTTGTAATACTAACAGCTTCCTCAAAGGCAATGATTGCTTTTATAGGAGATTGATATTTAACGATTGTCCTGCCGAAGAAGTATGTGCCGTTTTCTTGGATGCATACAAAATTTTCTACGTTTTGCTACAGTGCACGTATGCCAGAAAAGGACATCGGCAAAAGGATGCAGGCAACAATTGTAACAAAACATATTTATACGATTATTCGTTTTATGTATATCTATGTTATATTTTATTATGTTACTTTAAACAGATTTATATTATATAAACTATATTACATATTTTCATATTATATATGTGCATGTTTACATTATGTTAATATGCTATTTAGATAATAGATATTCTCTGCACTGAACTCGCCTGAAAGTGACCATCAGGAATGAAGAGGCGTGTATCATGAAGAAGCATTTGGATGTAGCTATGTCTGCTGGGGATCTGTATACAATAGTTTATTGTTATTTATAGTATTATTATATATGTTATTATATTATTGTATTATGATTGTTAAAAAACTTGCGTAGGGTTTTAATCATTATTGTTATTAGATTTGTTAAATAAATTAACATGTTTGATTTGACTATTTATTTATTTACTATGGATTTTTCCAATTTTTTCTATTACTGTTCTTCTTAATTCTCTAATTAATTTAAGTTATATCATTTTTCCCCCACCATCTCTTCATGGATAGCTGATTTCAATAAATGCAAATCTTCTACCCTGAAAAAACACATGTTGCATAAAAATGATCATAACAGCCAATCATAGCAATTGATTCGTTAGGAACAGCACAGGATTTTTGATCCATAAGCGTTAATTTGAAAATTTCTTCGCCATCGTTAGCATTTAATACTAATAATAGATGAGAACGCGAGCCAACCGCAACATTTTGTTCATACAATGATCGACTAGCATCTAAGCACTTATGCAAATTTGCTGACCAGACAAGTTTAAATAACTTTCGAGTGAATAGTAATTTCGCTCAAAATCTTCTCACTTCAATTCGCCTTTCATCTAAGCTACCTAGGAATTTCGTATCATTTATTGTCACACTGTATCTAAGAACATTTCTAATAGATTACGTTGATTAACAGAGTGCGGTAAAACACTATCAATTTCGGTAGTCAAACTTAAGGCAAACTTAACACGTTCATGGCTAAAACTTAAATTTGTTGTCAATTTAGAACGTTTTGTTGTATATTCTTCGATGTCATGTGTATTCTTGGTTTAGTACCATAATACTTTTCAAGAATTGTTTAAAAATTTGTAACGGAGTTTTGTGCTCTCTCTCCTACAAAGCCTTAACGATCTTCATTAACTGAAAGCGATTTACTTTACCACGAGCTGTTAGAGGCACCTTTTGGAGATTATAAATTCTATTAGGTTGCTCAAATGTATCCAAAATATCACGCAACAATTCTTGCAATAGAGGACATTTGACAATAGACTCAGTTTGACCAATTGCTACGCATAAGATGAGTTTGTTAGCTTTTTCATTCCAAAGACACAAAACCCTATTTGTAATACTTCCTTTGCGGAAAATGTTTCCAATCTTTTGTGATAAGAACTTGCAAAAGAAATAGAAAAGCAAGTAAAAACACTAGCGGCCAAGTATATTTGGACGTTACATTCATTCAAGTATATTTGGAAATTTACCCAAACATTTAATGAACTTAAATATATCAGTCATGTATCCCCAAGCTGTGTTCTTGGCATTCAGATCCCCATCTAAGTCAAAGTCTGTCAAAATATGTAGTTAGCTATTCGCATACGTAATGACCGAAACATTGCTGAATTTGGCAAGGAATCTGTGAAATAGAGTTTACTTTTAATTGCATTCGTTTTCTTAAGTAATTCCACAATGCTTTTTACGTTAACGTTACATAGGAAAGTTAGTCGGTACAACTTGCCAGTCTCCAGTGACGCGTTAGTTCCAGGATTGGGTCCTAGCTTCTGCTTTGGTGGATGGTTGCTGAGTCGAATACTTCCAATCCCGCAAATAAGCCAAAATCGTTTGAAAAAATCATAATGTAATAAGGTATCTGAAAGTTAGCTTACGTTTTCGCTTTCTGGCTTGTCTGCTTCACGTGTATGCCTAGTATTCAGCACTGTTTCGTAATGACGTTTTTTTTTTTGCTTCACTTATGTACTTCATCTGTTAGATACACTCTTTCATATTTGTCAAATTAGGCGAAAAGTGAATAATTCATGTTTTGCTTTAGTAGTGGCTGTTCAAAATGGCAATTGTAAGGAAAATACTATAAAATCCAAACATAATTGTTTCTCTTACAAAGAACAGAAGACAAAATTTTCGCAAACATTTGAATCTGATCGCATATATACGTTGAAGAGGCATAAATTGACGTTAATTGGAATATGTAAGCTATATCTTAAACAAACACACACATTGGCTTAGCTCATACCTACTTACAAGACCATTACGATGGCGATGCTTAGGCCCTTGGTGAGATTATTTAAAGCACTACGCATTTTTATCTTCCAAACATTTATGGGCGATAGTGGATATCCGTTAGAACGTTAACGGCAGCACTGACGAACAACTTGAAAAATGCATTTGTTTATAGGAAGGTTAGTATTACCTACTTTTTTTATTCAAAACCTATAGTAAGTCTGTTTATATTTCAAGGTCACTGGTATATTTCGTTGGAAGAAGAGCGTAAAAGCAGATATATTCCATATCCCCCACATTTGCATACACTAAAAGTTCCAACTTGGGGAAGCAAAGATTTGGATTCATTAGCGTCCGAAACATATTGAGGTGATGTTGCCGATGTCTTCGCAGACCTCTCATAGTTAAGACAATTGGGTGTAAAAATAAGGTATAATATAGCGTCAAGATTTACAAATTGAAACTTTCTTTTTCCGCGTTTTCTATTATTTTTATTTTTCTATATAATTTATTTTATAAGATATGAATACGTCCAATATATAAATAATACATAAATAAAAACACCAACGCATAAAAAATCAACATAAAATTGAAAATTTGTCAACATAAATTCTAAAATCAACATCAGATTCAACACTTCCAGTTTGTAACTTTTTAAATGTATAAGTAGTAAATGTTTATAATTTGTTGGAAGAATCATTATTGCGGCATCGTCCTAAGCACAAGCGAAGAAAATAAGCGGAGATTTACTGTTTTAAAGAACAATGGGTAATTTCGTCGATTTGAAAGATGCATTTACAACTTCTTTTCCTAATATCCTTGAACGAAATATATTTAATCAAGCGAGGATCGATTCCTACATCAGAAGTATCCATTTGCTTCTCAGCAAAATTGCGAATCTCCTTAATCGCTCGCGGTAAAGCTAAATGTACGGTATAGTTGCGGATCACTACTTTTTATTACTTGGTTTGTTCGTTTATTTATCAGGAAGCAGAACCAACTGTTATTTTGTCAGTTTTGATAGCCAGAAATGAGTAAAAACAAAAATTTCTTTTTTTTGGCTCTTCCATTTGCACGTGGAAAGCCCAAAAAAACGTTCGACAATCATCGGCTTCGCCGTGCACGAAAGCTAACTTTCAGAAATGTGATTACACTGTATATGGTTTGCGAAAGTAAAGCCAATTCAGAAATATTAATTTGGTAAGAATCCTACATCGTTTTATTCGAATATTGCTTTTAATAATGTTTTTCTGCATTCTATATAAAGTGCGCAGAAATATAACTAACGCTGTGCATTTTTTGTGAAATTATAACTTTTTATTTAGAATAAAAAAAGAAGTTTTGTTTGCTTTGCGCACAATCTGTGGCTTATGTCATCTAATCATATGCTCAGAAGAAAGCCTTAGGATAGCTTACATTAGATGATTCCGCCAATTTCTACACCGAGTTATTAAATAGGTAGCTTACGCTTTTAACATTTACAAGGTTACAAGTGTAATTTAAAAAATAGCGTGTACGAGTTAAAAGTCAAAATCATCGCGAAATCGTTAAACTCTAGCATATCAATAATGGATGAAGATATTAAAACGGTTATTATTACAAAAAAAGAAAAACGAAAGATACTAATCCGTAATTCATTTCTTCATACAAATTGCAAAAGGAATAACCATCCCGGTAAACGTCCCCCGAAAACCACCCTCGTCTTTAAACGTTAATTCTTGTGAAGTCTCAACACAGAAGAAAGAATACACGCCAAGTTGGGCTTACCCAGAACTAACCGCAGGAAAAATTCACTGTTTACAACATTAACATTGACGTCTTTTTGTTACAGACTCTAAAAGTGATGACCTGACACTTGTCTATGCAATAATTGATGCCGCATGATAGGTCCAAGTTAATAATATGCCAAAAAAACGCATCAATATTTACGATCGAGGTTATTTCTTCAACACACAAGCGTTGCTCGCAAAACTGAACCTAAAACGGTTATCATCACGGGCAGTTTGCCAGTCATAAAATCTGTCTATCTAAAACCCATCTATCCAGCTATTGAAGTTTCACTTGGGAAACTTTTAACAAAATAGGAAATACCCTTGCCACTTGCGGACATAAAATTGAAATTGGCTTGATGCATATTGGACTTCTGGGGAATCAGCGAGTAAACATATCCAAATCCACAGTTTTAACATTTGCAATTATGGATGACACAGTGGAAAAATTTGGTCTCCGTGGTAATCATAATCTCATTTCACCCTCGTTTGCAATCAGAGTCAATCCTATTTGCAATTGTGAACAAAATCTTATGATTAAATATATACTTTGTAAATGTTCAATATTTGAAGTCTTGCTGTAAATTTAATACTTTGAATGATTCGTTAATTATTAAGATTTAGTTTAATTTTAATAATTTTTTTTTATATTCTCTAAAATTACTTATATTCGAAACTTTAGCTTATAAGCTTATTATTATAAACATAATGAAAAAGTGAATTTTAAACAAGCACGGACGATATGAATATTGTTATGGCTTTCTACACGTCTTCAAACTCCGTCTCTAACGAAGTTACTTCTCGGGGTCCACCATACTCGTCCTCTCTCTTCTCTCGATTATGTTTATAGGCTTGGTAAATGAAGAATTAAATATTTTTCTACAACATTCCTCTCTTGTTTCATAATAATAAAATCGATTGTGAAAGTTCTATGTCTTGTGTCAATATCGCACCCGGTTAGCGTTTATAAGAACTAAGTTTGATTTCAATCTTACAATTTTTCATTTCCACTTAGCCTTAGATCTACCATCAATACTAGACAAGCTATGGCATGTCAGTTGCAGCAGCGCTATAAAACTGATGGCCTCGAGCAAGGCTTATACAGCAAATACGTTTAGTAAATCATGATCATAAGAAAGTTAAACATAAAAAACGTGATAAACGGAAGTAATTATAATAAAACTAATTGTTAATTATGGAAGACTTAAGAACCCTATATAAAGAGGTTACCGACACTTTGCGTAATATGTAATTCTTGAAAATTTTTACACGCGAGCTCCGTAGGGTTGCAAAATGTCAGTTAAAATGTTCTGAAAAGTGCAGGGAATCATTGCTAATAGCTAACTCCGAATGAAAGGAAAGTTTTAATTTATGAGTTTAACACCCTCTAGGCTGTACACATTTGCTACCACATAATATTAGTGAATATTGACTATTGGGATGCATTAACAGTAAAGATTTTTTCAATTAAAGCTTCTTTATCCACCTTCTAATTTTGCACACAATTTTGGTTCTTTTTTTAAATTCAAATAACAGGAAAAAAGAAAACAAAAATTGGGCTACAAACAAAGTAGTCTAAGAATATTTTTTCGTATTGACAATGATTATTGCTTTCGCTTTCACTGCTTTTAATTTTCTGCAGTAATAGCAAGTTGCTTCACTGCCCTCATTTATACCCGTGACCTAAACAAATAAGAAAAATAGTAATAATAATAAAAGTGCAAATTTTGAAAATCCCTGTCATAATCTTAAATGCTCTCTATGCATAACACACGAGGATGATAATATTTAATGTTTTGTTTTATTGCATTAGCGTAATAGACCCAAACTAAACCGAATTCGATAGAATTCGAAGTAAAATTTCCGTAACCTACTCCCTATTTAATAGACGCAAATAAACCACATCTGACGAAATTCGAAATAAAATCTCTGCAGCGCATGACCTATTTATTCCCATTGCTGAAATTTACAATTTCTTCACTGTTTTTACAATGAATGAAGTAAATAAAAATTGGGCAACTATCGTGAATGGAGGGTTATTGAGTTACCCTGGCTTCCACAGGCTATGCGCGGCCCTCGCCGCGCAAACTTCCCTGAGGGGTCCATCTAAGTAGCGACCGTGCCACGACACAGCCGGACCTGCAATTCTTTTCAATCACGTACCTGCCGATAGTAGTCCGTCTCAATGCGGCCAGACTGATCACCCGGATATTCGCAGAATTCCAAAGAACAGGAGCTCCGGACCGGCAGACTATGTTGATCGATGAACATCTGTATATCATCACTGTCAGCCACCAACGGGAGTGGGCAGCTAAACGGGACAGTCCTCGCCGCACCCGGAGGCGCTAAGCACTCACATCAACAACATCATCAACAACGTCGACCGAGCAGCATATCGCTTGTGATAATAGCGTCACGACAGCACAACAACAATTGCGACCATTTACCCCAACAATTATCGTTAATAACAATTTTAACACAACAGCAATCACAGCCACGACCACCTATTCTCCTACCAGCGGAACAACAGCAGCACAGTGACAACAAAAATCATCAACATCGGACCAACCAACAACTATCGCATTGCAGTCTCTATAACAATGCTAAACACGGCCACAGTGGCAACGGCCGCCGTCAAGGGTTTTCGAAACCGCTGTTACCTCGACGGCAGCAACAACTACCACAACGACCAACAACGACAAAATGCAGAACAACAGCAACAATCCCTGAGAAGTCACGGTTAGGACCATCGTATCATCACATACACGACAACAAAAGTCACCCACAGCCAAGGCTCTGTCAATCAAATGTACGCACATAGTAGCCCACGTTGACACAACCCGTATCTCTCTGCATTGATTTTTATTCAATTTTTCATGCCCTGCATTGATTTTTATTTTATTTTTCATGCTCTGCGTTGAGAGAAAACTCGTATCACCAGTCACTTCTTCGGAGGATCTGTGAGGACTCAAAGTCGTCTCAAAGTTGGCCTCACGGGTTCTCCGTCTCTGGTGGGGGAGAGGGGATGCTAATTTAAGTTAGGGAGTAAGTTAGCATAGGAATAGATTAAGAATCGAATAAGAATAGGTTAGGACTAGGGTAGAGTAGAACAAGTTAGAATAATATAGAGCTAGTCTTAGTTTGACGGTCTTTGAGAGTGAGTCTTCGTTTGGGGTCGTTGATAGTTAGTCTTCGAATAGTTATGAAATTAAAGAGTGAATTGCTGAAATTTACAATTTCTTCACTGTTTAGTTTTTACAATGAATAAAGTAAATAAAAATTGGACAACTATATAGATTCTATGGTATTTTCTTCTAGATAATATTCCTTTCCAAATATGTACAGATTCACTACGTTGCCAAGTTTGAGAAATTTTTTTTAAATAAATCGATCTCAACAATTCTTATAGAACTGGTTAAGGCCTTTGATATGCACACTGTATTCTTATTTTTGTAGAATTCTGTTTGTTCTAACTTTTAAGGCAAGTTGTATAAAAAGTAATCGAGCAGGACGTTTTCCTTTAGGTATTTGTATTTTCGGGGCCGCCGATTTGCAAAGACATATCGGCTAACTTTGTGTATGAACGCAAATTGTAGGAAAATTTTTAAAATGTCTGCATGACTGGCTTTTAAAAAGTAAAACAGCGCTGTATTTTCGTAAAAACAAAAATCTTGCAGTCAGTATTTTAATTGTTGCAGTGGTAAAATACAAAATGCACTTAAATGCAAGATGATATTAAATTATTATTTTCAATTGAGAAGTGTAATCAAGCTTATTCTCAGATGTATGCAATTTTCATACAAACCCATTTTCAATTATTGAGAAGTGTAAACAAATGTGGCCGCTTACATGAAAACTGTTCTACAAAGGCAAAAATTTAATTTAACACATATGCGCAAAACTATAAGGGCAACAAGTGGAACCTATGATAAAAATAATGAACATTTGAAACTTTTTCTTACCGCGATTGAGTAAAAGAAAAGATGTTTTCGGTCTTAAAATCAAACAAAGAATGAAATAAAAAGAATGTTAGGCGATGTCAGTAATCGTTGTGACGTGTTCCATTCCCAGCGTTTTTTATTTTGACAGCTTCCTTGTTGAGCTAGTAAGAGAATTTGTTGTTGTGTATTCTAAAAAAATTATCGCAGCGTTCGCTGGCAGCTATTTTGACAGAAACAATTAATTAATTATTTTACTTATATTCCTTAAGTGGTTTTTCTCACTTTTACAAGAAATCAAAAAAAAAAAATCATTAAAGTGGTACATTATAAAAATTAGCTTGGTTTATGGAAACAAGGTAAAGGAATTCATTAAAGTTTCTAAAATATTTGATTTTGATAGTTTTTAATATCAAATGCACCAAACTGATTGACACTGTTTTTACATTTGCTAGGAATTTCGTTTTGACCGTCTTGAGAGTTCATGTTGATGTGGAATACTTCAATAAAAATATATTTTTTAAAGAAACTTTGGCTAAAATACCTTATGAACTTTCAAACACGCCCAATTATAATCATTAAGTGTAGAGGATTATGTTAGACACATTAACAAACTGGCGTTGCGATTGAAAATTATGGTGAAGTTATTTTAGCTCTTGTTTACAAGCGGATATATGAAGGTAAATTTGCACGTCAGTGATGAATCCGAAAAAACATAAAAATTCGTATTGTAAAATTTTCGCAGACCAATTTTTCGTAAGGAAAAAACCCTTTTATAAAAAATGTTTTCGAAATGTCTAAAATCATTAAATGATCGAGAACGGCACGAGTATATACTCAGGTCATTTGTTTTAAATAAAAAACATGTAGAATGTCGAAAGCATAAACGTGATATCGACATCATAAGAGAACATCATCGTTTCCTATGGAGTGATAACGAAAAAGAAGTGAACGCATCAGCAAATGAAAGTTGGGAAGTACGTTTAGCACGACGCTATTACGACAAGCTTTTCAAAGAATATTGTATAGCGGAACTTTCAAGATATAAAGAGAATAAAATTGCATTGAGATGGCGTACTGAAGCAGAAGTTGTTGCAGGCATCGGTCAGTTTCAGTGTGGCAGTCGTAAATGCAGCACGCGTGATGGCTTGCGTACTTGGGAGGTGAATTTCGTATACCAAGAGCAAGGTGATCGTAAAAATGCTTTAGTCAAACTAAGGTTATGCTCAGAACATTCAGTGCAACTGAATTACAGATCGAAAAAGCGTGAAATCAAACGACTCAAAAATGGGGAATGTTTTAAATGTCCCGCTATGCAACCAAACTTAGGAAAATCTAAAAGTTCAAAGAATGAAATTAGTGCAACTTGCTTTGAGGGTAAAGGACTGAATGATACAAATGACATATCTTATTTGGAAACGAGTTCCTACGACGCAGAGTACGGGAAGACGCAAAATGAAAATGTTACCAATCTAACTGATAACGTCTGGAATGATAAACTAAACGTTGAAAGTGAGACTATATCGCGGGAAACTGAATTTGAGCGTTACCTGGAAGATTTACTTTTATAATATACTTTATGTATTATCGCTATTAGATGGTATGTATGTAGTTGTACGAGTAGAAAAATTAATCGAATTTATAAAATAGAATTTTTCACTTGATATAAACTTGCTGTATCCTCTTGGTTCGTTAACTTTCATTTCGCCGTATATGATTGCACTGAACAATTCCTAAAATTCCTATATATTTATAAGGTACTACAAGTAGATGTTGAAGAGCCTACCAATAACAAAAGCACTATGATCTTAAGTTGGTTGCCATTTTTTAAAGTTAGACGAAAAAAAACATTTTTAGTTGCAATGTGCGAATGCTGAACTAATTGTTCGGACGTCATGTTAATCCTTTTCAATTTTCTATGTTCAAAATAAAAGATTATAAAGCCTGTCATACTTCAATGTTTTTTCAGTTGCTTCTGTACTATGAGTGTGTGACAAGATCCAACCACTTTTTGTAGCTGTCCAATCTTTGCGGGCTGTGATCCGAAATTACCAAAAATTGTGCCAAAAGAATGTGCCGTTAAAATTTTTAAAATGACGCTTAATGATTTTAAATAACGCGATCGTGAAGAAGAGGATTAAAGGTATTGTTTCGTTTATGGTTGGAGGGTGAGGAATATATTTATTTTGTCAAAACGTTTGTGACGCCCAGAGAGAAACTTCAGTGACCCCACAGAGTATTTATATTTTAAATCAGCATCAAGTACTATTTAAAAAACTAAGTATGTCTTTCGATAAAAAATCAATTCCATAATTTACGTGAATAATTTCTACGCTGGTGAGTGAAGACATGGTACACTCCCTATATTATTTCCATACAAATTCGCAGTTTGAAAGGTTCTTTATCGGATACGACACTATTCGGAACAAGGAAACGGGTGCCATAATGGAAGTTTGTGGTAATATTATATAGACACTTATCGTCATTCCCAAGAATTATTTTCTTATTTATTTTTTTTATATTGTATAGCCACTTATCGTCATTCCCAAGAATTATTTTCTTATTTATATTTCTTCATGGTTTATGGCAACAGGTAAAACCAATGAAAATAATTACATGTTTCTATTAGTTTTGCCGACATATTGGAATCTCTGAGATTAGATAGTTTTTCTATGTGCACTAATTCTATAAAATATGTATTTTATAACTATATTTTACTTTATTATCGCTTCGAATTATGAAGTAAGTTTGTTTTCGAGGAAAAATACGAAATTTCGATATCGAGCAAAGTTCGTACGCTTCCATCAGTCCACAGTTACTTTAACTTTTTAGACGGTCCTCTTACATTTTGTTTCTGGATAGTAGGAACAACCGCTTGATCGCCAGCATTTCTACCCCATTTCGTGTTCTCGAAAGACTAGAGTAAGGTTCGGTTATGGTTATCGTGCAGGCCGTGCAGTTAAATCGTTGTGCTGATGGCTTTTACAAAGGTGATCTTTTGAACTGTTAAATTCAGGGTTATTTCCAATAAAAAAACAGGAAATAATAATAGAATTCAGAACAGAATTTCGAAAGATTAAGTACGTAAGTTAAATAAATGGATGTTAAGTATATGAGTACTTGAGTACAACTGGTGTTATTCTTAATTACTTGTTAAAAAGTGAAGTGTGTTTGATTAAAGAAATTTTGTTTATGCTTATTAATTGTTGTGTCGGAACGTTTTCGACATTTGAAAATACAAGACAGGTAGGAGTCAAATCAATTAAGGAAATCGAACCGATAAAGTCTAACTTGATAAATTTGTGATCAGAGAGGAAATTTAATAAAACTTTTGTTTACGTGTATGATACATTGAGTAGCGTCGAGGATACTTTTTTTCAGCATAGTCTTTTGTTGGTTAATACGTCTTTTAATTTTTTGATTTATCATTTAGTCTTTTAATTAATTAATTAGAACTATTTTATATAAATTGATAGCGTTATCCTTTTTTCTCTTATTTTATTTAGGTTCCTAATAATTACGAAAACATGTCTCGTCAATTATTTTAAATGTAGTTTTCTATATAATCTCGAACCTTTTTATAACTGCCAAGAAAACAACCAAAATAGGACATAGCAAACACTATAGCCGGGCGTTTTCCCTTTGCAAAAGTGAGTGAACTGTTTCTCGATATAAGAACTTCTTTTGTGATGATACCACCGTGCTTTTGTTATGATTCGGCGGCTTCTGTTATAGTTCGCTTATCTCATTTAGCTCGTCCATCTGGGATATAAGGCGTAGATGGTGTCACGATTTGAGTTTGGGTGTTGGCGGCTAGCTCGCCGCTATTATATTTATATTATTATTATATTATTATATTTATTTATTATTTTTCCTTTCCGTGTTCTACACCTAAACTGTCCAACGTTCGTATGTACGAAACGATCACTGCACAGTTTACCTAACCAATACCAATAACCTCTTTTTTCTTTTCAATTCATTACATAAATAGCGGAACACATATATATAAACAATTATCTGTCTTGTATTTGCAGCAGTTGTAGCGATGTTCTTTTCTTCTCTCCTTAGACATCCCAGCATGTCACTGCTTCATTTGGTGCATTTCTTATTTCACTCAATATAATGGAAAATATAAGTAGCTTTTCATTTTGTAAGTAGATATATATATAAAATATAAGCTTACTTTTTTAAATTATCTCTATACTTTCCTTTTCAATTTATTCTAGGATTTTTTAAACAACAACTTTATCTATTGTGCTCTTTATTTTTTCTTTATAAACTTTGACATTTATTTGCAACATGGATCTGTATTGGTTGTAGGTATGCTTCTATGCTAGCTGTGTACATACCTTTTTTTGTTTTTTTTTCTTTCTTATTTATATATGAATTGTTATTTATTATTATATTTTTTTTTACTTCTCCTTGTATACTTTATACCAGTTTGTAATAATAATTATTATAAGATTTACTTCGAGGAGTCGATTGAATTTGACTGTTGATTTACTTTAGTCGAGTTTAATGTATAAGCAAGTAAAAAAAAAACTGAATAATTTGTTTTGTTTCTGAAGATAGGAATATTTCCTAAAAACTTAAAGATATCGAAATAGTTCTGTTGTTGATTTATGCTGGGCATTTTCTTTCTTTTTTTTAAGTAGGAGTTGCTCCTTCGTTTTAAAAACATTCGCGGATGTTGACGAAGCTGCTTCAATTATATACTGGAATCAATAGATAAATGTTAAGTATTTCATTGTTAAGCACATAACCCATTCTCTGCGCGTTCCTTGTTGCCAAAATTGCGATATGAAAAAAATTTGCCTTCTTTTTTTATTATTATTATTCACTCATTTTCTGTAGTTTATTTTAGTAAGGACCGTGTCCTAAGTACCTCATCAGCAGTACATATTGCTTTTCTATGTTGCATTTGTTGACTATAAGTCTTCTACAATGAGTACCCTCTCTACCTTGATGATTTTAAAGATCACTACTGTTAAGGCAAATGCCCTTCTTTGTAGAGTAGAATGTCTTATCTGATAGCAACCAACAAATGATGAGTCGTGCCAATCACGACTCGTCATCAACGTCCGACGTGGACACGAAGAACAAATGTGGGTAGATTGTTTGCACAATCTATTCAATAGACAAAACGGTCAAAGTGGGGGCCTAATTGGTTGGCAAAATTCGGCAAGACGATGCGTCAAGCCGTACCAACTTATTGATATATTTCTTCCAGCACTTGGAACTGGAAGAAACGCTAAAATAACAAGTGATCAATGTGAATGCAGAAAAGATAATTTTATTGATTAAAAAAATGACTTATAAACTACAATTCTTATAAACTAATTAAGAATTATGTTGCTAAAAATAAAATCATAAAAATGATGCACTTGAAGTGTGCCATAAAAATGCAATATAAGCAAATTAATGTAAACAATCGACGACACACTTCCAGGTCTGGATTACGTAACAAACGATATTATTGTCTGTGGTCAGTTATATGAAAGGGACAAACACAGAAACGCGATTATGCAAACGCCAGAGCATGAGCAATCGAACATAGTTATGTCAATGAGTGCATATGGATGTGGAAATGGAAAGATACATAATTTATTCAAAATATATATCTAAATTAAACAAATAAAATTGAATAAAATATATAATTAAACTAATCAAAAACACAACTAAACTAAGGTATATATTTGAACTAAACAACTACCATACACGAGATTTTGTTTCGTCTGTGCTATCTTCTTCTCTTTCATAAAACTCTGCTAGCTCTGCTAGGTTGGTGTAGCATTCTTAGGTTTTGAGAGTATTTGCATCTTCTCATTACTTATTATATTATTGTTATCTTTTTAATTCCACTTACTTTGTAAGTACTTACTACAATACTTGATGTAGAAATATTTTTGTTTTAGTTAATTTTCTAAAGTTGGAATACAGTTTTTAATTGGCTTGCACTTTTTAAATGGATTTTCGCTTAGACGAGTCGACTTGTGTTCAGTGTAGTGCGTGTTTTCTATTCGTCTGCGTTTTTCCAATTGTTTCGGTGTTTTCGGTGTTTTTGTGTATTTAACTTCTGTCTTTTCGGTGTTATTGCTAAAACTGGTTAACGCGGATATCGCGTATGTGCTTTTGTTTCGTCTATATATAATAAAAAATAGAAAACAAAAAAACAAAATAAAAAAAAAAAAAAATTGAAAACATTTGACACTTTTCTTTAGTAGTCCCCAACCTTCTTGCACAGTTCCCAAACCTTTTCAAGTGAGTGGTTATTTCAAAAATAATAATAAATAGACAACAATAAGGCATAATGGCCCCGGGGCCGCCAGACAAAAACCCGAATAGATTTTATCTATTAAGTGATACATCCCCCCAAAGAAAAAAAAGTAAAAAATCAGATTTTCCGGTGTTGCCGATCAGCGATATAATCCCTATTGATAAAAAATATATTGTTATTTCTTCAACGGATGCTCGAATAACAATTTTCCAAATTAGCCCTTTTGCTATAAAAAAAGCTCTAGATAGCATTACAACATACATCGACTCGATCTCGATTCTACGCGATGGGAATTTACTGGTCCTCGCTGGGAACCCGCGCGCAACCGAAAAACTAATAAAGGCCAATTCTTTAGCTAATCTATGTGCTATTTCAGCTAAACTACATGAGAAACTTAACTCGGTTCGAGGCGTAATTTATGCCCCTTGCTTAAAACATGTGCCGGAAGATGAAATTGTTCGCGAAATGGGCATTCAAGGAGTGACTGAAGCATATAAATTAACCAAACTGAATGATGACGGAAAAACACGCTCTCCTACAGGAAGGATTATTTTAACTTTTGATCGCTATCGATTACCGCGAACAGTTGATGTGGCGTGGTATAAATGTAAAGTAGAACTATACATCCCAAATCCTATGAGGTGTAAAAATTGCCAACGCCTGGGTCACACGGCAAAAAGATGCACTAATGCTGCATCTTGTGCTAACTGTGGTCATCCTCCACATACTGAAAGCTGTACCCGTAGTTTCTGCATAAATTGCAATGATCAACACTCAGCGTTAGACAAACAATGCCCACGTTTTGTACAGATGCGTGAAATATTAAAAATCAAAACAGAAAATTACTGTAGCATGGGCGAAGCGCGACGCACATATCGGGAAAGAAATCCATCTGTAGCCCATGGAATTGGCAAAAGTAATACCTATGCTGCTGTTGCCTGGCATATCGAGCCTAGTAAGACTTTAACTGCAACTGCTTCCAATGAAAAACCTGTTCCACCATTAACCAAAAATTATATTGCGAAACCAGTTACATCACTTGCCAAAGATAATATTGAAAAAACCAAAGCAACTGCAAATATTGAAAAAATTAAAACAACAACACATATGCTAAAATCTAATATACCAAATTCTCCAGAATCTTCAGCTCTCAACTTTACTCAACATATCACAAGTGGTAATGAATCCATTCTTTCATCCATTAATCAATCTTCGAAAACCAAAGCAACTGCAAATATTGATAAAATTAAAGCAACAACACATATGCTAAAATCTAATATACCAAATTCTCCAGAATCTCCAGCTCTCAACTTTACTCAACAAATCACAAGTGTTAATGAATCCATTCTTTCATCCCTCAATCAACCTTCAATTTCAAATTATTCACGTGCGCCAACCCGTTGCGCTTCAAATGTACCAAATCACCTAAATACAGATTATTCTGCTGGTAAGAATAAATCATTCACGAAAAATTCCTATAGTGACCTTCTCGACGGAGACGCTGACATGTCAACTTAACCCTCCCTCCACTCTGCTTACATGTCATTACAATTAAATAAAGTTTTTAAAATTCTACAATGGAACATTAAGGGACTTATTAATAATTTTGATGAACTCCGTACACTCATAAATGATTTTAATCCAACCTTTTTATCGCTTCAAGAAACTCATTGTAGAAGCTCTTTTAATCCTATTCCACCCAAATCATATACTGGATACTTCACGAATGCTGATCAAAATTTATATTCCAAACAAGGAGTTGGTGTTTTTATAAAATCAAGTATACCTCACAAACGCATAAATTTAAGCTCAAATATACAAGCCGTAGCGATACAAATAATGTTAAAAATAAAATTTACAGTGCTTTCGCTCTATATTCCACCTTCGCAATCGTTTTCTCAGCAAGAACTCTACAGTTTATTCTCCGTACTTTCCCCCCCATTAATTATATGCGGCGATTTCAACAGCTGGAATACCATCTGGGGCTCAACAGTGAACAACACTCGCGGTACTGTTTTAGAAAAGGCCTTTTTTCAAAGCAACCTTTGCGTTTTAAATGATGGAAAACCAACGCACTTCTCAACTCATCATACTTTTTCACATATTGATTTAACATGTTGCTCTCCATCACTTCTTCCTTTGGTGTCCTGGTCTATTTCTGATGATCTATATAATAGTGATCACTTTCCAATCATAATCGATCTTAAACTTTCAACGTCCTCTGCTACTCCAGCAAAACAGGCCAAATTCCTCCTAGATAAAGCGGATTGGATCAATTACTCCAAACAGGTGGAGTCATTTTTGAACTCAAAGCCATTTAACGGAAACTGCAACCATGATGCTGCTATTATGTCTAAATCGATTCGCACGGCTGCTCATCTTTCTATTCCTCAATCCAACACCTCTTTTAAACGAGCTAGGGTTCCATGGTGGAACAACACGCTTTCGTTTTTGAGGAAAAATAAAATGGATCTATGGCACCGCTTTAAGAGATGTCCTGATCAGAATCACTTGTTATTATACAAAAAGGCCAATGCTCTATTCAGGAAGGAATTACGGAAATCAAAGGCACTTAGTTTCGAACTTTTCTCGAGACGAATTCACAGAAATACATCAATGAAAGTTGTCTGGAACAAAATCAACAGACTTAATGGGACTTCAAACCTGAACGAAATTTCTGCCATCTGCACTCCCAATGGAACTTTAACTGACGCAGATGAGATTTCTAATTACTTTGGAAAAGTGTGGTGCGAATACTCCTCTGACAGCAACTTCTCCAGTGCTTTCATTGAAAATAAAAGGACTCCAATATCTCCTTCAAATAATATCGATAGATGTGCCATGTTCCTGGAAAATAGCGTATCTACCTCAGAACTTGGAAGTTGTCTCTCCAATTTGAAGGGGAAGACACCTGGTCTAGACCGCATCTCATACCAAATGATCAGTGCTATGTCTAAGTCTAGTAAAAAGAAATTACTGGACCTATATAATACGGTATTTATGACTGGCCATATACCCTACATGTGGAAAATGGCAACAGTTGTTCCAATTCCAAAGTCAAAAAATGTCTCCATCGCATCTGATTATCGCCCAATTTCTCTTTTATCTTGCCTCTCAAAGGTTTTAGAGAAGATTATGGCATCTAGATTATCTTGGTTTCTTGAATCCAAGAACCTGATAACAAAGCAACAAGTTGGTTTCAAGCGGGGTAGAGGATGCATCGACGCTCTGTTACATATTGATTATTTCACAAGCAAAGCAATTTCCGAACGAAATCACGTAACAATTCTCTCAATTGATTTCGAAAAAGCATTTGACAGAGTTGGTCTTCATGTTATCTTAAGACTCTTGAAATCATGGAATGTTGGACCCAAATTCTTCAACTACATCAAATCATTCATGTCGCATCGGCGGTTCAAAGTTAGAATCAACAATCATCTTTCTGATTCCTTTCCGCTAAAGAATGGCATTCCGCAAGGATCTCCTCTCTCTGTCACGCTTTTCCAGATAGCTTTCAACGAAATTAGCGAAATTCTTTGCCGTGTACCAAGAGTGGAACATTGTCTCTACGCGGACGATGTATACATTTTTACAAAAGAAAAAGACAACACGAAAGCAATCAACATCCTCGAATCTATTGCATGTGAGATCTCCACATGGGCAAACTCGTCAGGAGCTATAATCTCTATATAAAAATCAAAAAAAATGCACATTTGTCGAAAACAAATGTGCGATGCAGGAAACCTACTGATGCATATTAACGGCTTACCAGTACTAAATGTGCAGACGCTCCATGTTCTCGGGCTCACCTTCTCAAACAATTATCGTTGGAAAGCACACTGCCTTCGTTTAAAAAACTCCCTTTTAACAAGGGTAAATTTCATACAGTACGTTGCTTGGAGAAGCCATGCGCATATTAACACTATCGCTTATCTTACCAAAATGCTTGTGTTAAGCAAGATTGACTATGCTTTGATAATTTATGGCAATAACTGCAAATCTAATATCAACATCCTTAAACCGGTCTATCACCAAGCCGTTAGAGCAAGTTGTTATGCTTTTCGGACGACGCCCATAAATAATA